TTATAAACGATTTGATTTTTTTTTTTGGATTTTTTTTTCCTTTAAAACTTTGTTTTTTTTTTCTGTGATCCGATCCGTGATCCGATCCGTGATCCGGTCCAGTCCGATCCAGATTTTGTCGACACCTGGTGCTTAATCCAGCGAGTATATGTATAAGAACTTTGCGGTTAGAAGCTAGTGACAAACACTTCTTTGGGATAAGCAGGACCTCTAATTGTAGAATAGTGCATTGAATGTCAATATACTGATGCATTTAACTCACCGACTTTTCCTACATTATTAGTAGATTTGGCCTTGAAGATTTTCTTCTTCATTTTCCCTCCCTCTTCTGGAATCTTGCATCCTTGTATAATATCTGGTAATATCTAAGACGAAAGAGCAAACAAAACCCAAAAAAGTGAGAGAAATAGGTTTAGAAGGATTAGAGGCACAATCTATTTTATTGTCTACTTAAACTCACTGATACAGTCATACACGTATACCACATATACATGTACATGTACATGTTCATCATATGCCTTATAACCACTGATAATGTTCAAGAGAGCATTGCTAGAGGAGACCATGAAATCTTCTGCTTGAACCCACAACTTTCAAGATGGTCAATCTACAACATACAGGGTACATCCAACTTTTTTAAAAAGTTCACAACTTGTTGGCACAGGGACACATGACATTAAAAGTGCAATTTTGGTACCTCTTGTAGCTCCCTGAATGATTTATCTTCATCTAGTCCTGGTGCAAGGTCATTGTCCATGACAGGTGTTTCATCTTCATCATCTTCAACACTAGCTATGTTCCATGGAGACAAAGATCCAGCAACAACATCTGAGTGTGCATTATCATGATTATCAGTCCAACTTCTACGAGGTTCCATAATTTTAGTCCCGTCAAGACAACCTGAAAGTTTTCTCCTCCTTGACTGGTCATACTTTTCCAGTGTGTCCACAGTAAGACTGTTCCTGTTTGGACTTGATTCATCACCAATGAGTTTAAGGTAAGTGTCATATGAAATAGCAGGTTGATTCTCTGGTGAGTCAGGACTACTATCATCCTCGATAAGTCTTGAAATGACATAATTCACCATGTAAACCCACTCCTGTCTTGATTGCTCCTCTGTTGTTGCAAAAGTAATGCTCTCATGTATTCTTGGAACTGACAAAGTGAATGGAAACATTCTACTTTTCTTTCTATCTGTTGGAATAATTTTTGCTCCTTTAAGTGGAATCTGGAACAACATCTTAGTCTCAGACCTGTGTCGGAAACATGTTAAACATTGATCATTTATTGAAAACCACCTCTTGTGCCATCCCGGATGCTCCCTAATGTACATCGCACCACTGTGAAGTTCCCCAAACTCATTAGGCTGGAGGTCAAGTTTTTCAACTGTGTAGTCAACAAAGACATTATCCCCTGTAAAATATCCTTCTTCTTGACCATTAACATCACTTTCCCAGCCATCAACAACTTCAATCTCTGCACTGCCTGTCTCTGAGATGATTGTGTCTCGAGACCAAGCATCCACTGAATCCAACATAGGTAGATTGAGAGTGTCTTTGACTTTATATGCCGTAGCATCTGACTGATGCAGTGATGAACTACATAGAAAGATTCCACTTTCCTCTGTGCTATCTGTCCCTTTTCGGCATGGCAGAATGTCAGCACCTTCCTGTTGGCCAATAAGAGTATTGATTTCAAGTTCATTTTCACTTAAAGTATATGTAGCAACAAGAAATTTGCAGTTAGTGGAATATACAAATGTACAATAACACCTCACATAGGTTTTAGCAGATAAACTCCAACACCTCCCATAGGAAGTGGGGTGGACTGTTTATCTCTGGGGCTCTCACTAGAGACCCGAGAATACAACATGCTGATGTGCTTAGGTGAGCGATTATAGATTTCCTGCAATGTTTCCTGACGGTACTACATTACATGTAGCTTTCCAACTTCAGGTATGTTTCTTTGCCAGCTAAACTTTATTAATTTGAACTAAAGCAACAAGTTATTTATTATTATACATTCAAATGCGACTTACAAAGTGATTTCACTCACAACTGAAGATGGTTGCTGAATGACCAAAACATGTCTGTCAAAATCAAATGTGTCTTCTTCTTTCTAAGTTTAAACTTTCAACTAGGGATCTTTTTATGAACTTTCAAGCACAAAAAATACACAGTGTAGTGGATATTTTTTTTCACCTTTTAAGGTGGCCGAACACAGTTTTCAAGAGCCTATGCCTAATTCACCATTACTTTTAAGCTATTTATGCTTTGGCGCTCGTTTTTTGCAAGAGTCA